TCCCTCCGGCGTTTCCTAAGAGCATCACTGGAGACCAGGGTGTCTTTGTCCTGAAGTGACCAGGTTCAAAGTATGTTTCGGGTGTGTTGGTTGCAGCCGTGTTGGTCTAAGGACACAGGCAGGCAAGGTTCTTTGGATAAACCCGATATCTTTTATTAAACCAACTGAAATTGAATTGATTTAATAAAAGATATCAGATTTACCCAAAGAACCATGTCTGCCTTGTTTAAAGTACTCACTTCCGTTGGGCTGCTTTGCACCCGCTGCTTTGCCATGCAGCAGCAGCAGCAAGGAGTGTTGTAGCTGGGATGGTCTGGGCAATGGCCGAGACGCGAGGCTTTTCCGTGCACTCTCTCATTAGATAAACTGTATAGTTGGCAGGGCTGTTAGACAAGCTTTCTGGCATCAGGCACCCTTCTTCCTCCTATTAAGAAGGTACAAAACCTGTATGGAAACATGATACCTGCAAAGCCATAGAAACTTAAGATAAGTGCATATTAAAATGGCCTCTACAGTTTTAAAGACTTGTGAATACCAAAATGTCCTCCCTGGGAGAGAGGGTGGTGACTTATTGGTGTAATGGCCAGGAATAGTCCCTCTGCTAATGGAAATTCCACCATTTAATACAGTATTTTTGCTGTAAAGGAGCCAATCAATATTATTGAGCAATACCAAGCAGAGAACAAGACTTTGTGGATTCCTGGCCCGTAAGAGCTCTGCAAATAATTTTTGTACTGGTTTCTAAACCACTTCTGGGTTTGTGATTTTCTTTTCTGCCCTGCCTCTTAATCACAGGACAGCTTGGGCTGAATTTAGGGATTTATTGCCACCCAACTAGCCATTGCAGCACTAGCAGATGCTGCAATATTATGAATATGTCCCTAACATTTGATATCCAGATACATAGTCTGCATGTTATAAGTGCTAAAACAACATCACAGCTATAAATTGCTGTAGTAGCTGCATGAATGAGAAGCTTGGGCTGTGTCAGCCTGTTGTTACAGCGGCATTTCCTGTGTGTGCTAGCTGGTGCAGGCACAGAGTAGCCGTGACGGAAAGGAAGAGACTGATGGCGTTCCAGCAGAGGAAACAGGAATGGCACTCACCCCAGCAGAGCAGGATGCTGTGGAGACCCCAGAGCCTCCTGCAGTGGTGAGTGCTTATGAAATTGCACAAAGAAGCACAGAGCAGTCACCCAGGGCTTGTGTTACCCATTCTTATCCTTGGAGAAGCAATGCCAGTGAAGCTAAAAGAAGCTCCCTCCTGAAATCTTATCCTGCATGGAAAAGGGCAGATTAATTTGGCTGCATTTCCATTCTCAGGAGAGTCTTCTAATACTCATATCTGAGTCGTCTTTTACACAGCACTTTTCATATGGACTTAATAGTACTTGGAAAAGGGAAAGGAAATTACCATTATCCCATTTTAAAGAAGTACATGTTCCATCCTTGTCCTTTCCTTGGTGCCTCTTGGGCAGATGTTTGTGTTTGCTGGGTGGAGATTGCCAGTGGATTCAGATGTTGCCTTTTCATTTTCAAAATATTTGTCATAAATTAATATAAATCAGCACAGGGAGTCTATTCTGCCATAAGGGTCCAGTCCTGTGAGCTGCTGAGCAGACACTGACATTTAAAAGTCAATTGACGTTGATGGCTTCAAGCATCACTCACTGTATTCCTGGCACTTGCAGGACTGGGTCCTAAGAGATTTGAAACAGTAGTGTAGAAGCCTGAGTGCTTCCAGTTATAATATGGTGCTTAAACGTTGCACAGTCCTCAATCCATGTGCAGCACAGGAGGAAGTCTGAATACATCTGGACTGAGTTTGTTGGTTACTTAAAGATAGTATAACTCATA